TCTATCATTTAAAATTTTTGGTTGATAGGTTTTTTTATTTATCAAAAAACTTATTTTTCATCTCTAATCTATCATTTAAAATTTTTGGTTGCATTGCTTTTTTTCATCTACATCAACACATAGTCAAACTAAACTTGTAGATTAATTTAATGCATCTTTGTGGACTAATCTTCAAGCTAAAGGAGGTAGAAATGCTACTTTCTCCTAAAACACAAAAATTTTACAATTCCATGGTTGTTTCCTTCTTTGAAAACCAAACATATTACCTCAAATCTAACATTTAAGGGTAGAGTTGGAGAGAATATTATATTTGGGATACCATTCATGAATCACAAGCTTACTTATATCTCTGATGAACCACTCTTATCCCCACTACTAAAAATCAACTTGAAAATGAACCTACTACCCCACTAAATCCTCTCGCAACTCCCACCTGAAATAAATTCCAAATCCCATATATTCACACAAAGATTGGGTCAACACATTATGAATAGTAAGAAGAAGGAACATAAGAATACATGCATAAAACAACCGATAGAAGAATTTATGGCATATGATAAATTATCATCCTCTTGCAAATCTTTTGATTATAATTTGGATAAAGTGCATATCCCAAATTCAATCCAAGTGGCCTTATCGATTCTTGCTAGTAAAAGACTGAAAGAAGAGATTCTTACCCTTAAAGAAAATGATACATGGGTTATAACAACTCTGTCATCTAGGAAACGAACTATAAAGGGAATTTGGGTATATCTCTATTAAATATAAAGCAAATGGGAGCAAAAAACTGTTTTAAGGAAAGACATAATGAAAGGGTTCACTCAGTCTTATGGGATCAACTACTAGGAGACTTTTGCACCGATGGTGAAACTCAACACAATAACAATATTACTATCATTAGCTGTCAACTAGGATTAATTGTTACATTATATAGTCACTAAAAATGTATTTCTTAATGAGGATCTTGAGGAAGAAGTTTTTATGGAGGCTCCTCCAGGATTAAATAACAACACAAATAATTAGCTGGCGTGCAAACTAACTAAATCATTGTATAAGTTAAAACAATCTCCTACAGCACGAAAGGTTCATTAAGACTATTCTTGACAATGAGCACTATCAGTGTCAGGTTAGTCACACTTTATTTGTGAAATCAAATCAAGAAGATATAATAGTCATCCATACTATATATTTAGATGATATTATTCTTATAGCCAATGATGTAAGGGTACTTGTAATAATCAAAGGAACAATAAATTCAGAGTTTAAGATCAAGATCTTAGAACCTTAAGATACTTCGTAATAATGGAAGTAGCTAAATCCAAAGAAGAACTTGTCATATCCTAGAGGAAACATATCCTTGAATTATTAAAGGAGACAAGAATGTTGGGCTACAAACCAACATATAAACCTATGGACCCCAGTCAACGAGCATTAAATCTAGAGGATAACACCTCAATTGAAAAATGGAGGTATCAAAGACTTGTGAGGAAACTTATTTATCTGTAGCATATATGACCTGACATTATTTTTTCTATGGATATGAACAATCCAAATGAAGATCATTTATAAGCAGTCTTTTGAATCTTGAGGTACCTAAAGATGACTTCAAGATGTGAAGTGTTTTTTAGGAAGACTCGGGAACTATGATATTGAGATCTACATTGATATTAGCTAGGACGAAGAATTGATTGATAGAAGATCTACCATGGGTTAATGTTCATTTGTATGGGGTAACCTTCTTACTTGAAGATGTAAGAAAGTAAGCTATGGTAGCAAGAAAGTATCGTGCCCTGGCTTTAGGAATTTTTGCAATGATGCAGCTAAAGAAACTATTGGTGGAACTTCACATGGAGAACCAAAACACTATTAAGATGCTCAGTTATAGTCAATCAACTATCAGTATTTCAAAGAATTCAGTATACCATGATCGAAACAAACATGTAAAGATTGATATGCACTTCATCTTTAAGAAAATCAATCGAGGGGTTGTTCAACTAAGTTATATCCCAACTCAGTATCAGATTGCTAGCATTCTTACCAAGACTTTTCCTCAACACGACTTCCGTGATCTCAACAGGAAGTTTGAGATGTATAACACATACAACCCAGCTTGAGGAGGAGCGTTGATATGCATATCCGGTTTAACCATGGGTCCCTATTACATTTGTGGGGAGAAATTATTCTCCTTTAATTATTTCTTATTTATTTTATTTTTATTATAATGACTTAAATTTCCCTCCAATTGTATGGGGTTAGTCTAAGATATATATATATATTATATATATATATATATATATATATATACTTATGGAAAGATGTTTTAATAGCTTTCTATGGTCTGGGCAAAGGAAGCAAGTCAATTGGGTTAGCTCGCAGAAGGTGTGCAAGCCTCTACATGCTGGGGGGCTGGGGTTTAAGAGCTTCCACCATTTTAAACACATCAACTTTTGCAAACTATGGATTAAATTCAGATCTCAAACATCCCTCTGGGCCAAATTTATGCGGGGGAAATATTGCAAGGAGCAACATCCCCCTCTGATATTCAAAAAGCTAGGTGATTCAAGAATATGGTCAAATATGCTCGAAGTTAAATCCAAGGATGAAGATTTGCTCATTTGGGAAATGGGGGACACAGAAATTAACTCATGATTGGATAACTGGACCCTTGAGGGGAAGCTGGCAGTGTCTCAACCAACACTTTCTAACTTGCATCTTAAGGTTGTTGATTGCTGGGAAAATGACAACTGAAATTATCAGGCACTGCACAACATTTTGGACACTTCTCAACTAAGTATGGTGTTGAAAAGCCCTTTTGAAACCTCTAAAAAAGATAGGATTATAAATAAAAAATTTTTTTCTCTGAGCTTATGTGCGTACATTTATACTATATGTGTCCAAGGTGAGAAAGTTATGTGGGTTAAATTTATTTGGGGGATGTAGCTGTCACCTTCCATTTCCTTTTTCTCTTGGAGGTCTTTTTTAGACATGCTACCTACGGATAACATTCTAAAGCTCAAGGGACTAAGGAGGCCTTTATGCTGTGTGCTGTGTAGACAGGAGGAAGAACAACTACTACACTTATTATTTAGCTGCACTTTTGTTCGGAAAGTCTGGCACATTATTATTAACCATATCAACATAAGTGCAATGCAACTCTCTTGGCAGCATTTCCATCAAAGTTGGCAGGACTGGCAGAAGGTAAATCTATCCCCAATTCCCTGTATTGTGGCCTGGTTTGTATGGATGGCAAGGAACCAACACAAATATGAAGGGAAAATTATGAATTCAAAAATTGTTTTTAATAACTGTTTATTGCACCTGACCAAACTCACCAAACTAAAAAAGTTCCCTGCAATCTGTCCCAAGCTATGTGGCAAGAAATTGAGTCTCAGTGCTTCCCTAGTTTACTGGTAGAGACCTTTTTATGGCTGGATAAAGGTGAATAAAGATGGTAGCTTTCTGAAATCAGATGCAGGCATTAGGAGTGTATTCAGTGACAGTCATTGCTGGTGCTTACTGTTTTTTCAGTTCCCAGCTCTAGCCATTGATGCTTTAGAGGCACAAACCATTGCAGTTTTGTGGGCCCTTCTCCTTGCATAAGAGATAATTGCAAACAGCTACATGTTGAATCAGACTCTCAAATTTGGTGAATATCCTGAACAAACAGTTGGAGAGCCCTTGGCATTTATTGCTCTGGATTAAACAAATCAATCTCATGGCAGTCAACATTAATACAAGGCACACTTATATACCCAGAGGTAGGGTTACATACTGAAAAAACCATAATTAGCCAAGTTTTGACTCTTCTTTCTTTTCTTTTGGATGGGGACCATGTGGGTCTCCCTTTTATTAGATCCTTGTAATCTCTTTTTTATTATCAATGAAACCTCCTCATGATCATAGATACATCTTGTATATATGAATGTGAGGCCATATATATATATATATATATATATTTGATAAAAAGATAGGATACAAAGACTTTTGTGAGTGGGTACAAAGAGCCCACTTACAGGGATTATAAACGTATTCCCCAAAAATAAAACAAAAAGAAACAACTCCTAATCATGGTGGGTATAGTCGGTGGATATACCGTTTCCCCTTCCTTTAGATCTAGGGAGGGAGTCCAACAACATACTAAGATGTGGGCTTCAGCTCGAAACAATGATACAATCATCCTAAGAGTTACTGAGATTTGACATTCCTTTCTTCTTCTTCCTAGATTTGTAAACCTGCCAATCATCTGCCAGAGGTAATTCCGTGTGAACAATAGGTGGATCTTCGATGGAGGTAAAATGCTGATCTGACTCAGCCTGCAGCACATCTTAATCCATTAATCTTTCTTAATGAGAATATTGGAGAGTTTTTTCCTCAAAAAATTTACATATGGTGGTAATAATCTATTATATACCATTTTAGTCTAATTTCCATTAATCTACTTTAATTATTATTTTTTTGTCTCTAAGCTTATTATTCTTTGGCCCGACATAGTTGGTATAAGGGCGATATAGTCTTCTACATTGCACCCCAAATTCATCTTGTTATTTTTATGTTTTTACCTGCTGAATTTTGTTTTGATTATGTTGTAAATATTAATGTGTTACACTATAAGAAAAATATCTTCTTATTGTTTTGCTTACAGGATTTCGTTCTGAAAATCATTGCCTAAATTTAAAATACTAGGGCCTTGCATTTCTTGGTAATTCTGGCTCTTAACAGCGTTGTAGCGCTGGTCACCTTGATTAGTGTGACATGTAGTTTTTGTTTATCTCTAGCGGGTTCAGTTTGAAGGTCTTTTATTAAAAATATTTGAAAACTTGAATGCTGTAAGCATTCTTTTTGATACATAAGACTGATCCTTTTTTGTAATCTAAATACAAATTCCACAGCCATGTAAATATCCTTGGATGCATTTAAATAGAAGATTTTCTTGATTGACTGGAACTTCTTCGTGCTTCTATTTTACCGTGTTATGAGTTCCCTTTTTTCACTCATTGCAGCCTCCAATTCCCCTTGAGCGAGGTGACAGAAGTCTTACTTCCATCTCCGTGAGCAGTCTGGTAAATTTTTACACTACTTTATTTTCGGAAAACTTACTCGATATATAAAATCATAGGAGAAATGCAGTCTATCGCTGATGGAAGGACAGCTGATGTGAAGCCTAAGGTTGTAGATGCTGATAATAGTAGAAGCTGGAAATTGGATGAAATAGTCAATCCTGCTCATCTCAAAGCCATAACCCTGCCAGATTCTGCAAAGAGTAAAAACAAGGTCTTCGACTTTTGAACTATAAAAATAATAATATTACCTTTTATAGTAATTCGCTTACTGTTTATATTATTTATGAGTATGATGTAGACATAACAACTACTTAGTATTTACTGGTGAATTAATTAATTACTATATTGTTTGGTAACATCCATATCCCTAAATTTTATTCATATTGCACACAACACTTAATTATTAAGAATAAAACACCCTTCCAAACAGTTGAGACTTGCAAAATACTTTGTGACCTTGTCATACTCAATACATTACGACTTAACTATGTGACAGGATTGTGCCAGTATGGATCCCAAGACAGAACATGAGCACGCAAAAAATGGCGTGAGCCTCCTCGGCCAAAATATTCAAAGAGCAGTTAATGAAACAATCTAATTTGTCTAAGGAGAGATAGACGTGGAGGCAGGAAAAACATCCCCGAGCTTTGCCTAGTCATTCACCTGGTTAGCTCGCTGACAAATATGATACTCAAACGAATGTTATCCATCGAATGAGTTAAGCGAAGGACAGTCAATCATTAAGCAAATGGGGCAGGCGAGTCAGAGGCCTCAGAGGTAGTTATAAATAAGTCTGATCGAGAGACTTTTGCATTACCTCCACATGGTTCAACCTGTCAAGGCCGAATGAACAAGCATGAGAGTAACGAATGAAGATTGCAGTTGTCGACTAATAATCTACATGCTAGTACATTTTAATGTATTGTGTAAATGACCTTCGTGTCTTTAGATTCTTTGTATTGGAAAAGGGCTTAAGGGTAATTATGTGTCCAGAGTACGTCCCATACCTATAAATAGAGGACCCTTTCATTAGAAAAAGCTCTCTAGATATTTAATTTTTCACTGTTTATCTCTTCTCCTTGATTTCTCATGTTCTATTCCTTGGGTATGATTCTTGGGCGCTTTTGGGTTCAACACTCTAAAAGATGCGTTGAGCATGAAATCATGTCACTAAGAAGAAGAGCACAGCGTAGTGGCAAAGTAGCTGCCCAAGGACCACGAAACCAAGCAGATGTGGATGGTATAAGAGATTGTACTACAAAAAGTATTGGAGATGAGCAGTTGATGCTAGAGTTGAGAGAACAGATGGTGGGTGCATTTCAAGAAGCTCTGGCTAGTGGAGGCCAAAACCCACAAAATCAGAATCCACAGGAATATAGTCACCAAGGTCCCGACCCCCGAGGAAGACCAACTACCAACGATAGGCGAGATGGGTTTTCACCCAATGTTCGAAGGTCTCAACCAATAGTAGACAGGGGTGATGACCCCCATTACAAGGATAGTGTCAGATCAATCCCGGCAGAGAAACATCGCTCCATACAAACTACAACCCTTTGCCATGCTGAAAACGCCTTCTCCAGAAAAAAACTTTTGAGGTTGAACCCCCTGAGAAGTTCAAAAGCCCCCAATCTCGATTCGTATAAAGGCCTCACTTACCGGTTGACCAGGTATCCGCATTCGTGTTGGCAGTCGGCATATTGAAGATCACCTATGCCTTCAAGTGCTGCTTGTTCCTCACCAGATTGAGGGAGTCACCCCTTCGACGATTCAACCCTCACCTAACTGGAGTCATTCCCTCCGAGGTCGAAAGGCTATTCATAGCCCATTTTGTCAGTGTGCACAAAAGCCACAGAAGAAGTCTCGGGCTCTCATACTGATCTAGCAGAAAGGAGAGATCCTTCGCTCGTACATTAATAGATTTCAACGGGAAATGGTGGAGATTCAAAATCTCAAACCTATGATTGCGCAAACCTCCATGACACAGTGAGTAAAGAGCGAGCATTTCAAAAATGCTCTGGGCCTATGCGAGCCAAAATCTATGGCCTAACTATTAAAGATGGCAAATCATCATTTGTCGCTGAGGAGTTGGTCTTTAACGATCAAGAGGAGGCCGGAAAGGATATCGCTAATGCTCAATCGAAGAAGAGAGCATTGACGAATAATGCTTGGAGATCGAAGGACGACCCCCGTCCTACTACTCGCCTACGTTATGAAAGTAACCCGTACCACGACAACAAAGGGAGTCAGAAGAGCGATCGTTGAGACATGCGGTCTCAATACCTTGGTCGATAGCCGACCCTCCGCAACGAGCGACCAACCACTCAACTGAAGCAATTCAAAATGTCTCCCCTGAGATTTTTGATGGTCGAACTGGTGGAAGCATCCATGATGAAGCTTACATCAAGAAACCTCAGCCAATGAGGGTCGGAAGCTCGACTTGAAACCCGAACAAATTCTGCGCTTTCCACAGAGACCACGATCACGCCACCACACGGAAGAGTACAGACACCTCAAAAGCTTGGTCGAGGAATTGATCAAGGCCGAGAAGCTGAATGAATTCGTGGCTACCAAAGTGATCACCCGCAGACAAGGAAAGACCCCAACCGACTGGGCGAAGGATGAGCCTGTCCAAACCAACACCATTCAGATCACAGTTATAATATTGACGATACTCGGAGGAGGCGAAGAGTCCTCCCGACGATCAAGCCTGAAAAGGGTCCGGTCGGGAGAACTATGCGACATCAGCCTCACCCCGCGAAGGATCGCGCATCCACCCATCACGTTCGCCGATGAAGACTTATCGAGGAAAGATAACCCTTACAATGATGCAATTGTCATTATGGATTTGATTAACGAATACCAAGTGGGAAGAATACTCATCGACCTTGGAAGTTATGTGAACATCCTGTTCAATGCCTTATTCGACAAGCTTAACTCGGAGGCGCAACAGATGGCAACATCTTCCTACCCTCTTTTCGGTTTCCCAAGGGAGAGGAAGGAAGCCCTTTGAGTGATCACACTAACAGTCACTTGGGGAGACAGAGATCGCCAATTCGCAAGGCCTGAAGATTTCCTAGCAGCTAACTCTCCGCCCACATATAACGTCATCTTTGGTCAGCGGCTACTGAACAATTCCAGGTGACTAACTCCACTTATCATGTAGCTGTGAAGTTCCTAGGAGATGGAGAGATCATTATTGTTTAAGGGGACCTGGAGCAATTCTGGAGGTCATAGGAACGTATCGTCCATATACTCCAAGAGAATCAGGACGTCTTCGCCTGGTCTGCCACCGAAATGCGGGGTGTCTCTCTAGATGTCTCATGCCACCAATTGAATATTTATCCCATTGTACGACCATTCAAATAGAAGTTGAGATCGTCGGTCGGAAGAAAGCTTGGTAGCCGACCTCCTATTCATATGCCCCCGATTAAGAGGCGAAACATCCCAACGATTGGTCCAACCGACAATTGCAGAAATTGAAGCGATGGAGGTGTCCATTGATAATCTGATCCGTTACCTTGAAACTGAGGAACTGACAGATGGGGTCACTGACCCAAAGCGTTTCAAGATCAAGGTAGCTCAACATCTGCTGATGGAAGGGATGCTCTTCTGCAGATCCACTAACTTGCCATACTTAAGGTGCTTAGGAGAAACTAAAGCCAAGGATAGTCTTCGTGAAGTGCATTTGGGCGAATGTGGGAGCCACTCGGGAAGAACATTGTCCTACCTAGTACAATGCCTATGTTATTTCTGGCCTACACTTTTCAAAGACACTGAAGAATACACAGAGATGCGAAGAATGTCAGAAATGCGTCCCAATATAATATCGGTTGGCTCGATGATTACAACCTATAACAAGTCCCTGGCCTTTCGCCATTTGGGGGCTACACATTCGCGGACCTTTTTCATCCTCCACAGGACAACATTAATTCCTTCTAGCCGTTGTTGACTACTTATCAAAATGGGCGGATGTCAAGGCACTAGCCCAAATCAATGCAATTGTGGTCCGAAATTATATCAAGACTGAACGTATCTGTTGACACGGCTCATAACCAATAATGATACCTAGTTCGCTGATCGAGATGTTTAAAGCTTTTGAGAGCTAAGGAATAAATCTAAAGTTTGCATCTGTACATCATCCTCGCATCAATGGTCAGGACGAAGCAGCCAACGAGGTTATCCTGCATATTCTATGAAAAAAGGTCGAAGAAGCGAAGGGAAAAATGGGAAAATCTGTTGTCGTCGGTACGATGGGCCATCCAAACGACACTCTCAACAACGACAGGTTACACTTCTTTTATGTTATCCCACGACATGGAGGCAACGATGCCAGTTGAGTACAATCACCTTAGCCAAAGAACCACCCTAGCCTCTGCCTTCTAAAAAGAATGGCTAGCGGAGTGGCAATAGGCTAATGACGAAGGATACAGATAGGCCTCGACCTGGCCGAAGTTCGTATCTGTTTGGTTGTTCTCCAGGAGGAAGTTAAAAAGCAAACCGCTCTATACTTTAATAAACAAGTAAAATGAACTCCTTCGCACCATGAGACATCATCCTCAAAGAAGCCGCTCTAGTAGGCTGGAGACAAGCAATTGGCAAGATTGACCAGATGTGGTCTGACTGTTCATCGTTTCCAAAAGAGTTTCCCTAGGAACATATCGACTCAAAACCTACATGGGTGACGACATACTCATGACTTGGAGTGGGGACGACCTGAAATAGTTTTTCCCTTGAAACCAGACATTTCATTTATTGAATTCAAATTGACATAATAGGAAAGAGAGCAATGCTTGACACTTACCTACTCTAATACTGCAAACCACACATATCCCCTAATTCGGTTTGAGTGACTCATAACTCGAAATCAAGGGGCTTCCCTCCGTGGCAAGCAACCTAAAGACCCCTCCTGTGCGAGCAACCTAAGGCCTTCCCTTCAGGGTGAGCAACCTAAAGCCACGAAGTGAGCAACCTAAAACCCCCACATTCTGGGCAAGCAAGCTAAAGGCTTCCCTCCCGGGCGAGCAACCAAAAGACTCCTCGAAGGGGGCGAGCAAATTATGTACTCCACTCTAGGACAAGCAACCTAAGGACTCTCCCCCGGGATGAGCAACCAAAAGACTCCCTCCTGGGTGAGCAGCCTAAAAACTTCCCTACTAGGCAAGCAACCTAAAGCCTCTTCTTCGAGACGAGCAACTTAAAGACTCATCTCCG